CAAAAATACCTTGAAACTGAATATGAATGGTGTGTATACATGAGTCAAAGCTTTGGAGAAATTTTGTACCACATAAACCAGATCAAGATAGCAACACATCACTTAGACATGTATGTACAGTAATAGTTACGGATTACCTGAATTAATAAAGTCGTGTAATTTAGATTTTTTTTTAAAAATAATTCTTTAATCAAATGCTTGCCAAATAATAAATATTTAAATTTACATATTTTCCGTTTACATACACTACACTTGACTTAATTACGCTTACAAACCGTTTTATTTAAACAGTATGTAATTTTGATTTTAAGTTTTTTTAATTAACTAAATTATTTTATTTTAAAATTAAGCAAACTTACTTAGTTTTGTATTTTTTTTTTGTTTGAATACTAAGTTTAGTTAAACTCAATCCAAATTAACCTATGTATATTTATTGGTTGTAATAGTAACAATGACTGTGATGAAATAAAAGTGATAATAATAACGTTAGTAATGAGCTATTGTTGATAGTAGATAATAATTGTGATATTAGTGAACCAAATAAGTCATGATTTTTTACCCAATGACTCACCATCCCTCCTCATAGGCAAAGAATGGTTGATGAAAACTCATATATTGATAAGTGTTTAGCTTCAAAATGCTCAACCATTACAATTCTTTAAAAAAATAATAAATTGTCTTTAATTCTCTTTATTGTCTGATAACATATTTTGCTAGTATAAATATGTCTTTCCTATCCATCATTAGGTACATTTTATTCATTATATATTACTATTATATGATAAATTCTATTATTATTATAACTTAAACAAACTTCGAAGTGTTATTGCAAGTATCATTATTATTCATATTAGAGACATCTTAGATATATGATCTTTGAAGAGTTGTTGGTAATAATAACAATTGGTAGATGAAAGTAATGAAAATAATAATGTTAATGTCGATTGTGATAATTATTACAAGCCCTTGAAAAAAATGATAGAATTGAATGATTTAGTTTTTATAATTAAAAGTAAAATTTATTTATTTTGTTTTAAAAAACTGAGTTAAAGTTGTTTTTGAAACAAAATTAAAAATCAATTTAGCTCTATTTTAGTAAGAATGTTTTGGAATTTTTCATTTACAAACTCAACTAAAAACCATCTTGAACAAACCTTTGGAAGTCAAATTTAGTAAAAATTGATAAATTTTGAAAAATATTATAGGATGTGAGATTGGGTGCATCATTATTCAAAATCCACATACACCTGTTGTGATCCATATTGTTGTGTTATGCCAAATTAACCCAATTCAGATTGTTTGTGAAATCAAAGGCCGCCTGAACGAGGTGCAGAACATGTCTTTTGGTCGCTCCCTAAATCCTTGTTCTCTCTCTTCATCTCCACTTATGTTACGTTGGAATCCTCCCCCTCTGGGTACTCTAAAACTCAACTGTGATAAGGCAGTAATGAATAACAAACTTGCGTCGTGTGGAGGGATTTTGAGAGATAGCTATGGATCATTTATATTGGCTTTTGCAGGATTAATTGGTAGATGTTCTGTTGCACAAGCAGAACTTTGGGCCATATATCATGGCTTAAGACTTATTAAGGCAAATTCATCTCTTCTCGTATAATCATAGAATCTTATTCATCTACAGCAGTTTCCTTTTTAAATGAAGGTTGTCCTCGGTCACATTCATGCTATTCCTTGCTAAATCAAATTATCAGAATGTCAGGTGGCTTCCACAAGATTGATTGTTCTCATGTCCTTCGAGAGGCTAATCAAGTTGTTGATGGGTTTGCCAAGCTAGGATTCTCCTTCCCTGAAGGAGTGCATAGTTTTTGTTCTCTCTCAAGTTGGGCACATTTTCTTTTACTTGCTAATAAGTCTGCAGTTCTTTTCTCTCGTGGATATTAATTTTTGTATTTTGGACTTTTAAGTCCTGTTATCAATAATATATATATATATATATATAT